AAATGTCTTGTATTTCTTTACTTCAATATTATCTCACACTATCAACATTAAGGCTCAAACTTTAGAGTGTATCTACAATAATGATCCCATCATCCTCTTAGCATTTACTGTATTTGCTCTCAATAAGAATGAAGTCAAATAAATGAGATCCTAATGAGATTGTCCCATCAGTATGTATATTGCTGTTTCTTCTATTTTTCCCTCTCCTTGACTCATTCCTCCTCTTCTCACCCTGACTGTCTTCCCTCTCACCCTCCAGGCGGAGCTGCAGTATTGATAAATCACCAGGCTCCAGTAACGCAGCATCCCCCATCTCCCAGAGGAAGGACATCAATCGATCAGAGTCGCTCCGCGTCGTTTCAAACCGAACACACCGCATCTTCCGCCCGTCTGACCTCATCCACGGAGAGGTGCTGGGGAAGGGCTGCTTTGGACAGGCCATCAAGGTAGATGAGGGGGTTAAAGAGACACTGACATCATATCATCATGGCGTTTTCATGTGGTTATACTTGTGATGTCCAGAAGATGGCAGCATTGAGATGTTTAACACAAATTCCTATTTTCACATACAAGTTGAATGTCAGTGTCACAATCAAATGTTTATGGATAATAATAATAATTTCTTCCAGCTGTTTGCTGAACTTGATTTGTTGCGTCATTGTGTTTGGTTGTAGGTGACCCACAGGGAGACGGGGGAGGTGATGGTGATGAAGGAGTTGATTCGCTTTGATGACGAGACTCAGAGAACTTTCCTGAAAGAGGTAAGATTTACTTAATTGTAATCAGAGGCCAAAAGAAGATACATGTTGTGTCCTAAACAGAAATATGAGATTAGTAAGCCTTCACCTCACGAATAATATTAGTATAATCATGATTTAGTCAGCTATTAGACAGATGATTCAGATGTTAAAATAAGTGGCAAGAACCTAAAGGTTTGTGAAGAAGATTTGTTGTTTGAAAGATTCAGGTGTGAATACGTTGACCAGCCTGGAATAATCTGTGCTCAGAAAGTAAAGGAGGAAAATGTGTAGGTGCCTGAGAAGGACTTGGAGATTGAGGTTAAAATTAGCAGCTCTCATGTGAATGTAGGACATGAGTGAATAAAACAGGAGCAGTTCTCCTCCTTTAATAAGTTAAGGTAGAAGATATGAAACTGGAATGGGACTCAGTAGAGCACATAGCTGTCCTCCCACATTTTAATTCACTAGATCTGGACTTTTATTTGGATCTGCACCAAACTCCACACAGTAATGAATATCCCCTGAACATGCCTGATTTTTGTTCATCAGCGTCCATTAATTATTCTCTGAGAAATCAAGGAAATTACTGACAAAAACAAGCCGTCTCACAATGTTACCGAAATTGAAAAACGAACCCTGAATCTGCCCTGATTTGGATCTGCACCCAAATACAAAGGGTTCTTTCCTGACCCATACCCAGCCTGCCACCAAGTGTCATGGTAATCCATTCAGTAGTTTTTGCATAACCTTGCTGACAAACATATGCAGACGAAAATGAAATGAGAAATAGCCTCCAAAAACTTCACCTCTCACTCTCATCCTTCCATTAATCTGAAAAGATAACATAGAGTTAATCGTTGCAGAGAAGTTTAGACTGGAGGGTTTGAGTTGCTCTTGAAGTGGCCTAGATGTTCCTATATGATGTTTGGTATTGCAGTTTAAGACCTTCTAATTAGGATGTTTGAAGTTCACAGACTTATTCTCCTTTGGTCGTATGTATGTTATGTACGTGGGGCTCTTGTTTTACTATTCAGCTACAATAATAAAGAGTCTCTGCTTTGTGATTAATGTGGATGACAACGAAGTAAAACAAACCACAATGAAGCGTGGTTATTATTACTCCCTCAGGCTGTTTGTTTGTAGGTGGCCCATATCTCACATCACAGAGCCTCTTGTGATCTTGTGCTTCACGGCCTCTCTGGTGAACATAAGACAGGAATGCACCAAACTCTTGAGATACAGACATCACGAGACTTGAGTGGTAATATTTCAGGTTTATGTGTGTAACAGGGATATGTGTCCTCCTTCTCTTCACAGCCCAAGCTTCAGGGAGGGAAGTGTTTTATGAGGTGTCGCTCTGAGCAGCACATGTAACCGATTAAACCACAGCTTTGAACCAAGTTTCTCTCTGTTGCCTTAGAAATGCCTTTGAATAAAGAGAAATAGTAGCATTAAAAATCAGTAAAGCAAATTGTGTAGTGGAGTCACAGGACTGAGGCTGAGGCAAAGCTTTTGATTCACTGGTAACTTTGGTATTCTGTTGGGTTTTAAAAGCTCTGTACTAAAATACTGCAGAACCCTCATTGATGGGATGAGTGGCACGTATGTTTACCCACTGGGACCGCTGTGAGATCAACGATTCATTGTAGCTGAGAAAAGTTGTCAAACTTAACTTGGACTCTAATGTCGTTTCTCACACTTGTATCATAAACTCTGTTCCTACTTTCACATTTTGTCACATTAAAGTTGTAATGGTTCTGATGGTTGTATGCTAAACTGAAAGCTATAGTGAGCAGTTTTCTTAGCCTAGCACAAAGACAGTTCCTGGTCGGTTGCAATAATATAACAATATATATAACATCTTGGACTTAGAGGTTAAAGGTCAAAGCGTTACCCACACCCTGACTAACATCCTAACATCCATTACATCCTTTGTGAGTCTCAGTTGTGCTGTTAGGTGGATTGTGTTAAATTTGGACAGAGCCAAACAAGCTTTCCCTTCTTTCTGTCTTTCTTTCCTTCATTTTACTTTAAATTCTGTGTAATGTTGGTGTTTTTAGATGACACAGAAAAGGTAGAGAGATCAAAATAACTTACACAAACAGAACTATTACATATTTATACATTGATTTAATTAGGAGCTTTTTTTCTCTTCTCCCAGACTTTTTCCAAATAACTTTTCACATCACCTGTATTTACAAAATCACTGTCTTTTTTATCTAAAAGCACAGAAGATTACACAGTTTACAATGAAAGAGACATGAAACTCACTCTCCACCTTTCCTTCACTAAATTAAAGTTTAGTCCAGTTTCCACAGTCAAAAGTAAAATACTTGATCTCAGCTGAGCACATGGAGATCTTTGGTTATTACATTATATGTAACATAGTTCTCTGTACCATATTCATCTTTTAACAGTGGTATCACATCTCTCAACTTACTATCAGCAGGAAAAGTATAAAAGCGCATGTCCCGAAATTCTTTCAAAGTTTTATTTCACCCAAAGTCAAAATATTTTGTACTCAACCCACATTAATGTTCAACTGCTATTTACTCTTACATTTAGAACAGTGGTGTGGTTATGACTTTTATAAGTAGAAAGCAGAACTGCAAAGAGCAGAGACTAAGTGTGAACCAGCAGAATGACCTCAGACTTTACAAGATAAACAACTAGTATCACTGATGTTGACTTATTGCAGAGAGGTTGTGTCAGTGTGTAAAAAGGCTCTGTGTTGTTTCATCAGGTGAAGGTCATGCGTTGCCTGGAACACCCCAATGTTCTCAAGTTCATCGGAGTCCTCTACAAAGACAAGAGGCTCAACTTCATCGCTGAGTACATAAAAGGAGGCACCTTAAGGGAAATCATCAAGAAAATGGTGAGAATGGGGGGTGCACCTCCAGGAACGTGTCTATTTCCTGTTCTCTATTCAAAATGCATGGGGAAGGGCCTGGTTGTGCCTGAGGAAATGATCAGGTCCTCATTGCACTTTGCTTAATTTATCAGCAGCACTTTTGACATTGACATTTGTTTTGTTTTCTCTCACAGGACAGCAACTATCCCTGGAACCAGCGGGTCAGTTTTGGCAAGGACATCGCTGCTGGGATGGTGAGTTCAAAGATCAAAAAGTGCATGTAAACGGACTTCACTCTTCATACCACACACACACACACACACACACACACACACACACACACACACACAAACACACCAAGGACAATCCAGGATTCACTGAACCTCCTGAATCACAGCTGCAATGTAACAGTATTGCAGTAGTTTATATGATCAAAAACTTAGATTTAATCTGTACATCTAATATTTCTTGATGTGTGTGTGAATGTTTACTGTATTTATATAATGCTTATATAAAACATTCCTCCTCTTATCAGACTCTCAAAGGGCTCCATTCACTCACACACACACACACACAGGTGCATTGCATCCTGGTATCTTTACTTTTATCTCTTTCTAGTCGTCATGTTAGTGAGCTACAACACTTCTGCTCATAATGTGTACGATATTTTCCATCTTCCTCTGTGCAGATTACGGCATGAATTCTTGCAGGATTAGACCACGACTCCCTCGTGTTTTCCCTTGAGCACAGTGATGAATGTCGTGCATTACTGATTATATTTACAACAGCAGCTACTTGAGATGAAGAAAAGCAGGATTGTTCCTCTTGGCATTGAGATAACCACTCAAGGCTTCATTTTATTCTTCCTGTCTCTCTGTCAATTCAGTCATATCTGCATTCCATGAACATAATCCACCGGGACCTGAACTCACACAACTGTCTCGTCCGAGAGGTAAGAGCATGTGTAGTCCTGTGTGTGTGTTTGTTGGCATACCTGTGCATATACAGTGTGTTTTCTTTGAGGATTTAACATGGTGCACTTGTCATTAGCTGGGGCAGTTCAAATACAGAAATAAAGGAGAGCTTTGTTAGTTAGTAGCCATAAGACACTAAGCTTTAAGTCTTAATACTCGCGGCACACAACTAACCTCCAGCTCACCCCCTTCAAACAGAGAGATCATTGTACATGTGTCACATGAAGTTTGTTTTGTTCACGTCACATGTGAAGTTCTTCTACTCTGTGAGACGCCTCTGTTACCTTGAAGCTGTTACCTTTTGCAGTGACAGGGAGCATGTTCACTTGCAGCATTCATTGTTTATGACGTGTTGGATTTTCTTTGTGTAGAACAACACAGTGGTGGTGGCTGACTTCGGGCTGGCGCGGCTCATGATCGATGACAAGCACGAGGAGAAGTTGTCGCAGGGTAAACTGCCAGGTCTGAAGAGGCCTGACCGCAGGAAGCGGTACACTGTTGTGGGAAACCCCTACTGGATGGCTCCTGAGATGATCCATGGTATGAGCTACAGGGATATTGCTTTTTCATACCTAAATAAAGATTTACTCAATTATACCCATTCACATTCAAATATCTACGGAAAACTACTGTCACTGCAGTGCAGTTGTTGATTGTGTGCTGTATTCCTCCTATATTAAATTTAAAACTTCAGTTTGTCCTCCTTCACAGGAAAGAGCTATGACGAGAGAGTGGACATCTTTTCCTTTGGTATCATGCTCTGTGAGGTGAGTGGCCCTGCACGCTCTCTAGTAGATAGCTACGATTTCAGCGAGGTTATATTGTCATCACTGTTTGTTGTTTGCAGGATTACACAAAATCTACTGAATTGATTCATGACATTTTGTGGAGAGGTAGGGCATGACCCAAGATTTTAGCAGATCTTTAAATTGGCAGATCCAAGATGTTTTTTGTCCACATTTTTTAATATGGTAAAATAAGCCGTTAGCCTGGGTGGAGGTATGTGCTAATAATAATTAAGAGTAATACTAAACAAGAATGATACTACGGTGTGTACATACCTCTGACAAGGCCCAACAGAAACTGTATTTAAATTCACTAGATCTGGATTTGGATCTGCACCAAATTTTTAAATGTTAGAAAACACCCTGTCTCACAATGTGAAAAGAAAATTAAAAAATCCAGATTTGGTGCTGATCTATGTAATTGGTTCATCCTTGGGTCATGTCCCACCCATCCACAAAATTTCATTGAAATCTCAGTAGTATTTCGTAATCCTGCAATAACAAAACAGCTGAAACATAACCTGCCTGGTGGGGGTAAAAGGATTGAGGCTTGAATGGTTCCCTCATGCTTTCACTGTCTTGGTATTTATTAAATCTTCCAAAATAACAAAACAATAACAAAAGAGCTGTTTTTACCTTTAGTAGTTGAACTGTCACTTGCAAAACCTTAATTTAAAACCTTCTGGAGTCTGAAGTGTTGCAGCTTTACTACACAATGAATTACACCAAAATCAAAGTTCAGCTATAATTATGTCTCTGAGTTTTCTCTTCTTCTCTGTTTACGAAAGCTTACTTTTTTTTCTGCAAAATTCTAAAAAATAGAATACAGTGTTCAGTAATTTTATGTGTACGAATTTCCTTATTCCTGGAGGGGCTGAGCAGAGCCTGTGTGGAAGTCTTTGGGCCTGGCCTCACACCATTCACAGTTTGGGTTCAGAGTATGACTTCTCCACATGGACACCATTAGCCAGAAAATACTGCAGGGTTTAGAGAGAGCAGGAAAGCAGAGCTGTCTTCATGTGGCTTCTGACGGGCAGGCAAACAGTAGTTGTGGTCTGCTGGGAATGATCAGCTTCAGTTTGGAGGGTTGTTTAAAGGACTCTGGAGGCTTTTTCAGAGGACTCCCTTCAATCTGAATCCTTCCATCTTTAACTTGTCTTGTTCTTTCTCTCTGTGATTTTCTTGCTCCCCCTCCAGATAATTGGCAGGGTGAATGCAGACCCGGACTACCTCCCCAGGGCGATGGACTTCGGATTGAACGTGTCTGGTTTCTTGGAGCACTTCTGTCCCCAAGATTGTCCCCCTGCTTTTTTCCCCATGGCTGCTCTGTGCTGTGACCTTGATGCAGACAAACGGTCAGACATCAACAATAGATTCACACTAAAATGTTACTGTATTTAAAGGGACAGTTCACCCAACACAAAGTTTTTTCCTCTCACTCCAAGTTCAGTGTTATTACCTCTGCCAAGGAGGTTATGTTATCTGCTTTTGTTTGTGTAATAGTGTTTTTCCTTTTTATCATTAGGCCTGCCTTCTCAAAACTGGGGGAGTGGTTGGAGAACCTCAAGATGCACTTGGACATTGGTCTGCCCCTGGTGTCCGAACTGGACACGCTGCACAAGGCCTTCTGGGAGAACCACAGCATGGTGCGTCCTGAAAACGGCCTGCACACCCACCCTGAACAGCCGGAGCAGGACTGAGCGTGACAGGAGGTGTGGGAAGGTTGAATTAATGCCACTATGGTGGCGACCGCCTGGCGCGGGTGGTGTGGTGCCTAGAGGAGTCATGAGCATACCCCTCCGTGTTTGAAGGCTCAGGCTTAACGGATAGACTCAGGGGGAAAATGTGGATGTGAAAAGCCACCTGTGCAAGATGCACACACACACATAAACACACACACACACACACACATAGGCAAGCATTCAGTCAAATCAAGAGACATTAACTGCGATAGCTTGATTCTGCTGCACCCAAAGCTAAAGTGGAGCATGTCATATGCAATCAGATCTAACTTTCAAATCATGACTCCTGAATCATGTAGATTTAACATCATGCCTTTTAAGAAAACCTGTAGTAACCGTAGTGTGTGTATCCACGTGCATAAATTAGTCCAAAAAGTGGAACTTCAGCCTATTTTCTACAGAGCACATGGTGCAGTCTGTGTTTGCAGGTGTTTCTCTCTGCGTTTGGTTTGATTTTGCTTTTCGGTTTGGATCTTAAAACTGAATTCATGAAAATTGCAAAGGAGAGGTGCCTGACTTGTCGCTTAAGACACAGAGTTTAAGATCATGTTGTTGTCTAACTAGTGCACGTCAAACCAAACCCTTTCAAGCTTTAAATAGCTCACTGAAGAGTGTAGACTTTTTAAATAACGCCGTCAGGTCAGATCCTGGTTCATCGTGTCGCTCTGACCTCAGACCTGCTGCTCCTCTCCCTCATTCATTTTGCAGCACTGACGAAACACATCGGTACACATCACAAATCTGGTACGTTGCCTCCCCAGTTTCTAAAAGCTTTTTAGTGCATCTCATTCACATTCATGTGGCAACTTAAACTACATCATGCATTTTTACCCTTGTACATAGCTGGCGACATTGTAAATGTTTTAAATATTGTAAATGTACAGACATATTTTATATACGTACGCTACATTGCCATATTTTTACTGGCCGACCGGTTGAAAAAAAGGAGAGTGGTGGTTGGACTGCAGTTAAAGGGGCAATGCCACTGTGGCAGGTTAGAGGCTTTTATTAGCATTTGAGAGATGAGGAATCTCATCACCATGAAACGTCTCAGTAAATGTTGCATTCTGTCATTTCATTCCATCAAAAATATACTTCTAAACATTTCATTGGCCTCATTATTCGATTAGTGTTGGAAAACACAAGGTACTGTCTCACATTTGTCCCTCCTCCTTTGTTTACATGTAAATGCTATCTGTAAATATCACTGTATATACTTGTGTGCGTCCTTACATCCATCTGCGTGCGTTGCATCAATAATGCGCTCTCCTCAGAAGTCATCTCTTCCACCAGTCACATTTCTCTCTTGCACCCTCTAACACAAGACTTGTATCTCTGATCTAAAAAAAATCTTTTTATTTCAATTTCCTGCTGTTGTTTTCACAAGCTGCATGATGCCCCACTGTAGGTCTGCCCAGCTTCTGAACCAAGTTCTTTTTTGTATCTAACTGATGTGATTTTAAATAAGAAAAAAAGGGGAAAAAAGGTTGAGAGAGAAAGCCAGGCTATAAAGGAATTGAGGAAAAAAAACACAGCATTTGTTGTTTATACACACACACACACATATATATATATATATAAATATATATATATAAAACCACTGAAATCTTTTTGTACAAATTTGAGTACTTTAATTTGCACTATCCTACCAAATGGCTGGTTGAAGCCATGTTTGTTGATTTCCTCTCTTGGGCTACTTGTGATAAGGAAATAAATTATGTCAGTTCAGGTTGATAGACATATGAATGCAAGACACTGATAGAGCCTTTCAACTGTAAAAATGGGATCTGGGGAATTTCATCCTCCTGATAGCAAACTGGATTATATCAACATTAACTAATGACGTTTCTGATGATTCAAATGCATTTTAAGCATGGATCAGGGTCCAGAGTTTTTACCAGGGGCCTGGCAGGACAAACTCCAGAGAAAGTCCAAAGCCTCTTACTCAACATTTGCATTCTCTCATTCAGCCCCCCTGGAGAATGGAGATTATCTTCAGTGAATGTCTGAAAGCAGCTTTATCGTAAAGTTAAGTCATACACCAGGGGAAATATTAATTCTATTTTCCACTTTCATGTCCGCTTGAATACCTGCCAAGACAATATGTTTTCTGGTCTCTGCTACCTGGAGGATGTGATGTCCCAGCTCTGCCTGCTGCCTACAGACTGGTCCTTTGTGAAAGATGTCCTGTGTTGTTTCTGACTTGCTTGTTTTCACATGTGATGCCCCCCGAGGCTGCAACCACTGCTGATGATAGAGCACTTAACCCGGCCTGTCTCACCTCTCACCTTCTCTTCACACTCTTTTTGGCTCAGGGCCGTAAAATTTTTCCGGAGCTTACGTCACAGACACTCAGAGCGCATGTAACCCTCTGTCGATATAAACAGGCTGATAACACAACACATGCTTTCTGTCAACCGAGCCCCTGCTGGTTGATGTGTTCGTCCGTGAGCATGTAGTGTACGTGAGTGGCTTTGTTTCTGTCTCCATTCCTGTTTGATCCATGTTGAGCATGTTAGACGTGTCGATGATCAGTGAGAATGTCTCAGCAGCACTTCTTTGCAAAGGATCGTTACCTCTGAACAATGCTGTGCCTTTGTTGTAAGCTAGGCTTGCCAACGAATCGAAAAAACGTGAACAGATTTCCTTTTTTTTTGTTTTATTGTATCATAAGTGCAAGCCTGATCCAAGTGGACTGTATATCATTGCTGACACTATGTTGTATTAGATTTCATCTTGTTCTGTATCATATTTATATTTTCCAGATCTCCATTGTCAGTTTTGATATTTGAATATTATATTTCTTCTGTTGTCTTATTTAATTTTTTTTACACAAGCTGTGAAAACAATTCTGCACTTTAATCCTGAACGTGAACATGTAGACTCTGAGGAGGCGACGGTTTCTTTTTCCTTTTGTCACAGCTAAAAATAAAACTGTTGCTCCTTAAACAAACCAAAGACTCACAGTGTGTTCATTAATGATGACGTCTCTCTGTCACTGTCAGCTCATGAAATCTCAATGACAAGAACCATCTGAGCTTCACTTGTATTCACACCATTATCAGACTATTTCCACTTACTGAAGCACATACAGAGAATAAAGCACCACAGCTCCAACAATATACGAGTACACATTAGAAGAGTACTGCGTTATCCCGGTGGAGAAAATGTATGAGCTACAGTGAAGAGGTTAAAACGAAGTTCAATTCTGTTCAAGAAGTAACAGGTTAATTCAGTAAAAAGATGTTCACAAATCAACCACTAGATGTCGCAATCTAACGCTGCTTTTGATTTAAGGGGTAAATAACCCTACACTCAGAAACTAAATACAGCTGCATACATGTGTATTTACTATAAACACTGCAAAATACTAGTGATGGAAGAAGTATTTCGTCTTTTACTTTACTGAAAAGTAGTCTTGAACTCAAAATGTATAAAAGGTACCAAGGCGTTTACAGCAAAAGTCATTAAGGCCACAGCTACCCCCTCCTGTATTAATGTGCTGTTATAGCATCCTTTCATTTTATGATCAGAACTATTACTGTTATTAGATGTTTGGCCTCTGAGGTGCACGTGACCTTTCTCCCATCTCATCCACGTGCGATTGTTTTCATTTCGACGCAGTGGCGGCGGGAGTATCGTGACGTCATCGACAGGGGGCGGGAACGTGTGTCCGCGTTGCCAGTTTGGACGTTTTTCCGTGAATTGCACTGTATTTAATGGACGAGTTGAATAGGTTCTTGTTGGTTATTTGGGCTCCGGCGGTTTTTATATATGAAACGAAAGAGGAGGGAGATAAAACAACCTTCACAACTTACATTTGAGCATGCAACCATTGTTTTTCATTCAGCGCTGCTTACACTTTTCAAGTATAGCATTAACTCTGAAACCAATGAATCGGAAGCATTCTAGTTATAAATCCGGAACTTGCTTGAGATTCCTGAACATTTTAAGTTTTCTTCTAATTTTAGATCATTTATCAATATGAGTCAGCACATTCAAGTGAACTTGACTAATGTGGACCGATAAAGAAGAAATCGGTGTGGTTATTTTTCCAAAATGTAAACAACTGGGCTTCAAAATAAACTAAAATAAAGCTCAAGTTGTAGCTGGCGGCGTAAACAGAGACGCGTTCAGTGTAACATGGCAACACGAGCTTCAGATTGAACGACACACACACACACACACACACACACACACACGTTGGGGGGACGGGTTTGTCCGGTCAAACACACACACTCACTCACTCACTCACACACACACACACTCACACTCACAGACTGTCATCTCACCACAGTTGTGCGCAGACTGAGGAAATTAAGGAAATACCGGAGGAGCAGAAGAAGGAGGTGAAGAAGACGAAGAAGAAGACGGAGGAGGACGCAGCAGCCGTTGACGCAAACTGAAACTTTGAGCGATGGAGAATTTGTCCAGCATCAACCGGTTTCGTTCCGCAGTGTTCAACCACGGTGAGTCCTGAAGCTCCACGCCGTCCTCACCTGACCGTGTGTGGGATGTTTTCACTCAGGTGCAGCTCGTCTCCTGGGTTAAATCACAGTGCACCCAGCAGGTCGCCAGTTAAAATGGATTCATTGAGGACCGTAGCATTAACGGCTAAAATGTTGTGTATAAGCCGAATGTCGGAGTGCGTGTTGTATTATGGGTGCAGGGTAATCGTGACAGGGCACAGGGAACACTTCGTCCTGCTGAAAGAAAAGCCCTGAAGAGTCCAGAGCAGCAGCACTGTGTGATCCTGCAGTTATGCAAGAATGGTACCACACTAAACTATTTCAGGACTGAAGACATGGCTGGGTTGCACCGATAATGTGAGGTCTGCGTTAAAGCCCTCAAAGACTGTTTTCTTATTTACTCTCACGCTGCAGTGAAACAAGCAGCTCTGCCTCAGGTTGTTGTGTCAAGAAGCTCCACAAACTTCACACCTCTGTGGGTTCAGAGCAGGAGAGTGGACAGTGCTTCAGTAGGCTAACACAATTAACACTTTCTATTTGACACTTTGCTGCAAAGCTGCAACAGATCACAGACCATCCATTATTTTGTGGATCGATTGATTGATAATTCGGTCTTCAATAACAAGAAAACAGTGGACAACATTTCACAGAGCTCAAGGTGACAGCATCACATTTATCATAATATTAGAAGCAATAACGTTTTAATTATCACATTTGAGAGTTTGGAATCATCAACATGTTTTTAGCTGAAAACTGACTGATGTTAGTTATTGATTATATAAACCGCAGCCAATTTGGTTTTTGTTGCTTTCAATCTAGTAAATGCTGCTGTTTGTCATTGAGATCTTGTCACTTCAAGCTCCCATAGCCTGCTCAATATCTTTTTGAATCACTTATTAAAGGTACAGTGTGTAGAATTCAGCGATATCTAGTGGTGAAGTTGCATGTTGCAGCTGAACACCTCTCACCTCACCCTCCCCTTCCAAAGATGAAAAAGAACCTCTGGTGTTTAGTTTGTCCAGTTTTTACTAATGTAAAAATATGGCAGCCGCCGTACAGAGGACCCCCTCGATGTAAATATAAAGTATTTAAATATAAAGGGCCTTTTCTAGGGTAAAGAAAACTACAATTCATACAATTTAGATGAAACAAACTAGTGAAAACATCATGAGGATTATTCTACATTAAATTTCTGCCAATAGTTCCCTTTCACCTAAATCTTACACACTGGACCTTTAACTGAGTTTTTGAAATATTAAACATTGGACATTGGCTAATAGTATATTTTCACAAAGCAAGTGGATAACATAAGAAATTCTCAGACAGGATCCCTACTATTCATTATTTCAAAGACATGATCTCTTTGTTAAACAATTTGTTTATTTTCAGGGGCTTGTAATTTAGTACTAGAGGCAACAGTTACACTGAAACATCAGGCTTATTTTAGTGATTTGTACATAGAGGGCTGGTGTGTTGGAGATGGAGAAAGAGTGAAGAAAGTGGGAGGTTGTGAGAGCACTAGTGCGTGATGTGCAGAGAGTAAAGAGAGATAGTGCTGAGTTTACATGTGGTTTTCTTTGCATGTATTGATTATGGCTTCTGATGCACATTTCCCAAAGCTGAAAGGGAACTCAAAGGGAACTATTTCTCTCACTAGTGGTGTGTTCATGTATCTGTGAATAGATCTAGATATAACACTATGAATTATTACAGTAGTTTAACCAGAAGCTAGTTCAGCAGCCATCAGTAGTGAGATGTTTTAAACCTTTGTCAAATTGTTCAAGGTTTTTTTTACCTTTTCATGTTGTAGAGAATGAAACTGCATGCCCAAAGATTCACCGTGGGTCATTGCCTGTTCATTTTTTGTTAAGACACATCAGATTTTACACATTGGTGCCAAGTTCAAATGTTAGTTTTTCCATGTCTGACTTTTTCTGTTAGTGTTTCTGGAAAATGCTGTTCTACATTTCTATGATATTTCTTTGCAGCACTGTGGTCAAAGTTATTTCTAACACGCAAACAAGACAGTGACTATGCAATGTATCGATACATTTCTCAATTACCTTCTGGTCTAATATGAACTTCTTAACTGTAGATGCAAATGTAGCTGCTATATCAAGAGCCCATAACCCACTTGCAGCAACACAGTCCACCGACATCAGAATCACTTTAAAATAATGTCTAACACTGAAGGGCACCCAGTGGGAGAGTTAGCGGCGTGTGGTTGGGTGGCACAGTCAGCAGTGGATAAAATTCCTCAGGGAAAAGCCTTGCAGAGAGATACTACCCATCTCGCTTCTATCTGTGGCTGCGCTGACAGCGTCACTGGTGCAGGACCTCTGCATGTAGGTCAAGAAATAAACCGCAAGAAAAATTAAGTGGAGCGAGTAGCCATCACAGCAGTTATTTTGATCACATTGTCTGCATCTCTGTAATGTGAAGTTTTCAGCTCTGAATGTGCAGATTCATTCAGAGAGCTTTGGATGTTTAAATGATCTCTTCCTTGGTTTGCTCTGTCAACAGTGCACAGGAGTCGCATTTGCACGTCAAGTATTTTCACTCAAACTGCATCCGGAGCTATACATAATGATGTCAGTTGTTTTAAAGGGCAGCAGCAGTAATATGGAGCTCATACATTATATATAGTTTATATGCAGGGACCAGTGAAACACTGTCTGTCTGCTGTAACTTTGCTGCTGCTTCTGAAGCAGTTGTAAGTCACCTGATTGTGATCGACCTGAGTTTAAAGCAGTGAATCAATATCTGTAACACAGTAAGTTTCCCAGGACCGGCAGCTTTGAGCAAAGAGATTTGTCTTGACTTTTTAAGAACAGAGAGAATCAGTAAACTGGAAACATCATGAATAATTTTAATTTCTTAAGATGCTGACTGATCTGAAAGCACCAGACTTTGAGAGATAACTGCACATGCCACAGTCCTACTTTGTTTCTGTGAGCAAGACCCCACCAGGGTGCCCACTCTTGTCGTTGTTCAGTAAAAACCAAACTCCTCAAGAAGTGACTGATGCTGTAATCGCCCAGTGTAAATCTGAAAACCCACCGGGAGCCCCTGCACCCATTTATTTATAAACCACAAGCACGCTCAGCTTTTGAAGACGGAATTTCATGCAGTCCTTGAAGCATGTTGCAGTATTTTGCAACAACATCCCTCATGCTTCATCACAGACATATGTGCACGCACACACACACACACACACACACACACACACACACACACACACACACACAAACACACACACAAACACACACACACACTGGTGCTATTGTTTCCCAAAATCTAGACAGTATACTTCACACATTAAATCAAGTGATTTTAGCTTTGCAAAAACAACATCTGGGCTATAATAACGTGATAGATGTTCTTTATTATCAGGATTATTGCAAGTTGTCTTAAAGGGTTTTGTTTTTGATTTTGAGTAAATGTTCAGGATTCACAGCTGTTGTTTTTTCCTAAAACTCTACTTAAACCTGAAGATGAGAAATGTCCGCACACCAGTTGATGCTCCCACAAACTTTGTTATTCTACCTCCCAGGAAGGTGACATTTTGAGCACAGGGCCTTTGTCAGACTGTGCCTGAAACGTTAACTATAGGTTTCTTGTCTTATCAAGTTTGGATGTATGTGCTTTAATATACTTTCTGAATAACCTTAACTGAGCCTGGTCAAAATTTAATGTGCAGAAGTTTAATCTTAATCAACATGAGATTCTTTGGTGGGATGTGATAAAGATTAATTGACCATTATGTCTCATGAAATGTATTTAAACTGATTCATACATCGATTCTGTCTGTTTCTTGGGTGTCTTAACACCTAAAAGGATGGAAGATCAGTTTTTTGGAACATTATTGTTGTAACTTTGATAAAGCCTAAAGAGAAATGTAAAAGTTAACTATTGAGTCACTAATGTCTGAACCAGCTGTAAGCCTACTGGCAACATAGGGTCTCAGTTTCTTAAAAATAATAAATGTTGTCAGGCAGGTTCTGAGAGCAGACAAATCAGGTGTCAGATACCACAAAAATGTCTTTTCAAACATTAGCTCACCTATTTTCAGCATTTTATTTGCATAATAAATAGTCACTTCACTAACAATGTGTTTCTGTTCCTCTCCTCTGTGTCTGACCCCTGTTGGATGTGGATTTTGAAATCACGTCTCCTGCTCATCAATCGTCCTCCTCTGACTAGACGATGAGGTAAGAAACCAGAGTTTTTCCTCCGTCCTGCTGCTGAAGATGAAGTATGTTGTTGGTGAAGCGAGATTTAACCTCGATTATCTCACCAAAATGAGGACATTGTGGTTTGTTGATGTCAGCCCATTTCAAGCCTGCAGACACTGCAGCTCATGCTGTGCAGTTTAATTTAAAAGGAGTTTGTCTGTTGGTTTCAAGTGAGTGGTAAAGTCATTTGAATTTAGAAATGTTTCCTATCAACTGAGCTTGTGAATTTGTGAGTACGTGAGCTTGTGTGACTTATCCCTGTTATGTGCTTTGGGGTTTTACTTGACACTACCAAGAAATAGCTGTGTGAGAATAGGTGTGTTCACAGAGCCCAGATTTTCTTGTTCTTGTCTCGCAAAGTGACAACTGAGAATCTGCCCTGTGCATCAGCTTTGTTTGTGTACCTGCTGCTTTTGTCTGAGTTTCACTCTTAACATTTCACTGGTTATACTTGACAGCGTCTGCTCATACCACCTTAGACAGACTCATTAGCTCCCATGAAGCATATCGTGGCTCTGGAGTCATGTTTGTCATCTGTTATCACCTTTCCAGTAGCCAGCAGCTTGTCACATCAGTGTCAAAACTGACTCATCCCCCCACCTCCTCCTCTTTACTCCTCTTCTCAATGTCACTGTCTATATCCCAAAATCCTGCAGCTGTGTTTAGCCCGGCTGAGTGGGGATGAAAGGGGGGCGTGTTTGTTTTCAAGACCAAGCAATTCACAGACGAGTGGAGAGGAGTGAATCTGTATGGGTGTGACAGACCTCTGTTCCTTCCTCAGCAGCATTCCAAGCCTATGTGACAAAGCTGTAGTGTGTGCTGCCAGAGGGAACACCTTTTGAGGAAACTTTTAACATCTGTCAACAGACACTTTTTCACGGAAACCAATATTCCAATATTAACCCGATTAAGACAATAGTTTGAATAAGATTCTGCCATGTAAACAGCACTTTCTGACTTTCTGAATAAAGCCACGCTCAGAATAAACATTAACAGAACTAAAACATGTGGAATATTCTGACATTAGTTACATTATGTAGACATGTTCATTTCATTATTACGTCCTATGTGACGGTAACTGCTTGATGACAGATGCTCTGTGTTCGATTGTTAACATGATGGAAAGATATCAAGAAGTTGGCGCTTTTGCATAATTAGAAAGAAAAACACTCAAAAGGGTACACAGTAGCATAATGAAGTAAACAATTTCATGTTGGGGTTTTAAGGAACGTCAAGTGTATGAAGTGGTGGGACCCTGACCCTCACCACCCACGATATCACAGAAGATACTAATTTGAGCTAGATTGCTAACTAAATCACAAAGAAAAGAAGAAAATTATATGGTTGATGGAATATTTTTATTTGCATGGTTTTATCTTTACTACTATTTTTATCTTTTGTAAAAAATGTTGCTAAAATGTGCTGTTTTTAACTGGTTTTAAAATATATTGGATTCATGGAAATCTTTTAATGACCCCCTCACTGCGTCTCCAACAACTCCCCAGGGGTCTAGACCCTTAGTTTGGGGACCATTGACGCAGTGGACGTAATATTGCCATGGCTCGTAATAAAACTATGCTCCTTAACATGTAAAGAAATATGAATGGAATTATTAATAGCAATTTATCTAAACCTCATAATCAAAAATCTCCAATACAGAATAAGGTCAGATTATTGGTATTAATGTAGTGAATAGGATCCTGAGGCTGCTGCTGCTGCTACTGTTGACTTTAGGCTGATTGACAACTTTAACTTGTGGTGGTTTGGCACGCCTCTCACTGGTGTGATTAAAAAACAAATCTACACAAATGTATTTCCTGTTCTTCAAAACCAACTGGTTGTGCGATTCCCATCTAAACACAATGTGCCTCTCCTGTGAAAGCCATCATTCAATCCAGTTTGACATAACTTAAGTGCCCCTCCCCTGCTGCTACACCCCATGGCTGCAAACCACGGAGCACCACTCCGGGGTGTGGTGAAGCAAAGAGGGTGGCTGTGGCTTCCTTTTGTTCGCCTTAAAATGCCACATAACCTCACACTCATGCACTCACACACACACACATACCCAGACACCGACTGACGTCACTGTTCTTGGGCAGTGCCAACTGTGCACAGGGATACATAGAGGATGGTTGTCTCTCCAGAGGTTGTCTTCATGGTGCATTCCTCTGTGGCTTTTACTCAACTAGCCATTAGCTTCCTGTGCCTTCAATTGCTGCCCGCCAGTGCAGCCAAAGCATATGCAGTCTATACTTGGACTTTATTAGCCTATTAGCTTGCTAGCTTCTGCAGAGGTTTCCGTGTTCCCCCCCTTTTCTCAGTTTCCCCTGATGCCATGTCTGTTTTTCTCATTTGCTGTCACTGCCAGCGTGTTGCATTCATTTGCAAACTGGAACGGCAGAATGTGCAGATTTGCTGAACCACACCCGACTTTCCACTGATTGACACATCAGCAGTAATTATGCCAAGTGAATGTCAAGTGTAGGGTGTGAGACAGGATCTCATGACACTGGCTGACGGTATGTTCAGCTCATTGTTCAACCAGATTCAAGCAGTTGTCTCTCGTCGTGTTTGTTATCATGTGAATCATTGTGCAGTATCAAATGTTAACATTATACTCCACATTGTGCAGTAATGATATCATCCTGTACATTATCACACTTAATCCACACACCGACAATAATGCCACTCTACTCTGTGTGCCCCACAGTGAGAGGTGGTGACGCATCACTCATCGGTGAAACCCGATCCGTCATTCTGTATAACTCTCCACTAGGTGAAGTGTGTGGGCTTCACCCTCTGAACATGTAGTCATAATGGCACAGTGGTGATGCAGACACTGAGGCTGTCGCGGCAGGGTTTTGGCCCGTGGGCTTCGCTTTGACAGGCAGCCCTGTGGGCTTTTCCAGTTTTGATGTGAGGGCAAACAATCGGGTTAGGGAGGATGCAGGAAACACTTGACTGAATATGACGCCGTCATGAGACAAACAATAAAGAGATGGTGAAAGATGATGCTTGAAGAGGGATCTGCTGTGAATAGCAGACACCAGCATATGTTTCTCCAACAGAAGAGAGGCTTTATTGTAAATGTACCTTTCAGTCATCAGGAGTTATGAAGGGTTTATGTGGAGTTTAATCATCTAACCCCATCACAAGTATTTCCAATTCATTATTTGTTTGAGTATACACAATTAATTGAGGTGATGACATGCAAAATTATTAGAAACATCACACAGTATAATCTGTAGCATAATCCTGTCCAGTTGACCTTTTTAGTGCTGACACAAAACAAAAAAAAACAAGATGAATGCAAATATCTCAGGATGAAAAAGATGTTTCATATACGTAGAAGATGCCACCTAAGATCTCTACTTGGAAAGACAATGACATCCGCAATCTTTTGACAATTAGGGCCAACTGTAAATACAAAAAAACGGGATTACTGCTGTGGAATATAGACCTCATGTCGTACCTCCTGCATGTTCTACCCAGACGTCACCTTTCACCTGAATGTTCCAGATATTTTTTGTTGTTGTGAATGTGTCTGACTCAGTCAATCTCCTGCAACCTTCTTCATGTGTGAAAGTGTGTGAAACTGTCCAGAGCCAATTTTCTGGACATTTTTTGGAGTTCATGTCTGAAAATGGCTTAGCTGTGTCAGGGGACCGCACCCTTAGGAGGCTGCAGGATTGATTGCATCACTGCGACTGTACCATTTTGAAGGAAAGGGGGACCACTCACTCTACGAAGGTCACATCCTCTGAATGTTTTAGTCCCTTATTGGGACACTTGAAACAAACGGAGCAATTGTTAAATGTTATTAATAACACCAATTCTTCTATTGCTGAACGTAAACCTGACACCTACACCACCACTAACTACAGTCTCATACATTTGATGCTACGCTACAACACAACGCAGCAAAATACTTATATCAAATGCTATTAAGAAACCCAGTGAATGCAAATTTAAAAATCTGTTTTTTATTTGTCATTGCTACAGAAACAATCTGTTCTGTCCCATCTCCTGCATTCCTCTACAATCCTCCCTGGAATATCAGCTTGAAGGCTGAACGTTGAACATAAGCATCTTTGCTGGTTTTAAATGGCTCACTGAATTGCTTTATTTGGTCCTCCTCTGACATCCTAACTTCCTATGCTCACCGCTTCCTTCCTGTCCCTGCTGGGCCGGCTCACCAGAACCTCGAGCTAATTGGCTCGTGTCTTCATCTCCGCAGATGTCCCACGTCAGCCCAAGCTTGCCTCCCAACCTCCAGCCTCAGCACTCTGAAGACGTTTTGGTCAGGGGTTGACCTCAGACATTCCTTTAGAGCCTCATAGAAGTGGCCCCTGCCAAGCCCCCCACCCGCTATAAATAATCTCAGCCCAGTTCCCATGGCCCCCACCGAGGTTCCAGCTCTTAGTTACCAAAGCACAATATGCCACAGCTTCACCAGAGTGAGCACCACTCTGTTACCAACTCAGGGATGATCAGCTTTCTGGGAGGAAGTGAGGCAGGTGTTGAGGTCATCACAGTTGTTCTCAGAGTTATCACATGATCACAGGAAATAACGGAACATTCCTGTATGAAGATCATTAGTCTGTGCTCCAGCTGTTTCTGGTTTCAGAGACTTGTCCATCTAAAGATTGTCTTGACAAAATGTCTTGCAGTTTCTCCACTGTGCTCAGTGATTTAGCTGTGGAGCTGACTGACTGATTTACATCCCTCACATTACACAGTTACAGTATTGCATCATTCACTCGTAAGCTCTAATACCCATGGGACAACTTTCAAATAACTTTTTTTAATCTGTGGTTTCAATCAAACAATTGAAAAGGTATTTAAATGAGGAGGTGTGCCTATAGTTATCTTGTAAATGTGTAGTTCCTGTTGTCAGTTAACCATAATTCTGTATTTAATAGAAAACGTACCCTACTGTACTGTAGCTCCGCTAAAACATTATCACAAATCAAAAA